ACCTGTCTCCTCCTCCCCAAGTGTACCACTATGCTTGGGGTTTTCATGTAGGTTCTGGAGGTTGAACTTTGGTCCTTGAAGCAAGGACTTCATTTATTGAGATTTTTCTCCAGTTCTCAATGCACAAGTTTAGTTGTACTTCAGTGTTTACACATGGATGTCTGAGAATCTTCATAACTAGTGCCCTGCTGTTGGTGTAATGGTAAAAATAAAACGCTGCAGGTTCTCAAGTGGGCCACTATGGACCACAAAGGCAGCCAATCCCAGGCAGGGAGCCCCAGAGTGGCCCGTGGGCCATGAGGGCCAGCGAGTCCTAAGCAGGGAGCCACGTCGTGGGTGAGAGACCAAGTTGGATAGGTACACCATACAGAGTGAGGCTGGATTTTTATTTAGTGGGTTATGGAAGGGAAGGGAGAAGGAGGTAGAAGAAGACAAGAAAAGCAACAGAGGTGGGGGAGAGAGGAGCCACGGCAGCAGTTACCCCAAAATGTGTCTTACGATGGGAAGGGAGGCGGAAGAGGGAAGGAAGCTGACAAGCAGGTTGCTGTAGCACAGCATGGTTGTCTCCCTAGGGACTTCTAGCACCAGGAGCCTGGTGTCTTGTGAGTCAAATGGGTGACAGTAGGACCACAACTAAAATTTTTGAGCCAAATTTGAAGGAAGCTTTATTAAATACTACCAGGATGGACACTGGCCAGGCCCATACCTGTGTTTCCCAGAGTATGGCCCAAACTACATTATAAAGGCAAGACTCACAAGGCAACAAACTTCCAGTAAGACATGTAAATTGAGATTAGGGGTTGGTTTGAGGAAATACTTTGTATAACTTTCAATAAATATACATTTGTATGACTATTTGAGGTTCAGTCCTTCATAAGAGGCTGGACCTTGTTGCTGCCACATAGGCCCTAAAATTTCATCAACCAACCTGCGCTACACAGTGCACCCTGACACATTCAGCTGAGCCTGACCCATTTCCATCTCAGCTCTCCTGTTTGCCACAAAACTATGGATTCACCAGAAAACAGACAAACATACAGACAAAACTTTCCAGATAACCAGAACCAGGCAGGTGGGCAGGCGATGTCTTGCTTTTTGCCCTGGATGGAAGCATACTAAGTCCCAGATCAGGATCCCAACAGACCAGATGTCACAGAAACTTGCAGCAATGTGCCAGGGGAGATGCATCTGTAGATGCTTGCTGCTTTTCTCAGCATGACAGTTCACTGATTGTCTGCAAATCTGAAAGTACACCTCAGAGCCTTGGAACATCTTGAGATGTTCACTCGTGAGGCAGCCCTTCAGGTCCAGCTTTAGAATTTCAGTGGATGGTTGGATCTCACTAGGCCTTCAGAAAATGTTAATCCTACTGGGAAAGAGTAAGAACACTACCCCAGTTTTTGAACCAAATTTGGAACAAGCTTTATTAAATCCTGACCAGGATGGACACTGGCCAGGTCCACACTGTTATGGTTCCAGTCACAGAAGTGGTGGGCACTTCTGGGTTCCAGGGCCACACATGTGCAGACAAATGCTCAGGCAAAATACTGAGCCACGCTGCAACCTTAATAGGCCCTGTGTGATGTGTGTGCAGCATGGTTACATCACCTACATATCATGTAGCTATGTAAGCCCTTGCACACAGGCGTGAGCTACGTCAACCCCTCCCCCGATGGACGTGTCATCTCTAAGCTCTCTTTCTCCACACCAACTTTCTCAGACCTGTACGCGTCTCCTCTAATAAACTCTTAAGTGGGTTTGTTGTATGCTTCGTTCTCACTTGCACCAGATAATTTCACACACCCTGGATTCCCAGAGTATGGCCCAAACTACATTAGTCAGGTGCGTATAAAGGCAAAACCCACAAGGTTACATACTTCCCACCTTTGTCCAATGGGGCAAGCATACATCCTGACATGTTTCCTGCCTTCATCCAATCAGGAGCAAGCATATTTCCTGAACTGCTTCCCACCTTCATCCAATCAGGAGCAAGCATACATCCAGACATGCTGACCCACAGGCTACATACTTCCCATCTTTGTCCAATCAGGGGCAAGCATACATACTGACATGCTTCCTCCCTATATACCTCCCACCTATGTGTGATCAAGCACATTCTATGCAGTTGAAGCAACCAAGCTTGTTTACAGAAGTGAAAACACTTGGTTCGTTATCTTACGTGAATAATAGTCCCCAGTATTCCAGGAAGTACAGGTTAGATATATTTTTGTCTTACTGATCTCTTAAGCACAATAATTTAAACTTAAAATGTAACTTCAGTTACCATACTTTATCTTCTCTTTCCATGGGGCAATGAGTCCAGTTCCATGCTGATCTGCCCATCTTGGATTTTCCTTCCTTAAAACAGAGTACTTGCAGCAATATATGCTTGGTCTCATTTTAAAATTCCTGGTTAATATAAACATGCATTTAATAGCTCTTGTCTCTTGGGTGTGTGGATTCTCTAAAGTAGAAGACCTCTAAAGTCCTTGCCCAGAACCCACATCCAAGGATCCTTTGTCAGGATCTGAAAACAATTCTGAAGATGCCCACAAGTAAACAGGAAGGTGCCAGCCTGCGACAGAGAGCTGGGTAGGGGGAACAGCTCTCATCTTTTATCTTGCAAATTGAATACAGAAATAACTGCAAGAGAATAGGTAAAGCTTCCCACACAGTCGCTTCTTTTTTAAGCTAAGGACTCTTGTAACCATGACTTCACTGCTGAACTGACATCACACTGGTTCCTCTGACAGCTTCCGAGAGGTCCCATCAAGACTTTGTCACAGAAAGCAGTAGAATGGGCTTCAGCTGGAGCGTGGAGCAGGCAAAGGAACAAATCTGCCATCAACTCTGTGCCTGTTTGACCTTCTCAGCTGTACTTCTCTCATAGCCTACCGCAAACTGGCCAGAAATGTTGGCCAGTTGGAGCATAAGGAAGAAATGTAGGGTAAAGTGAATTCTAGCAAAAGAAGATAGAGTCAATCATCTCAGTAAATGGCAGACAGGTGAGTCTTGTGTTGTTAATTTATAAAAATGATGTTTTCATCACATGAAAGTTGCTTAAGATAATCCTCCGTGAATCAAAAATTGCATTGCTTCCTAGCAATGAAAGCTTTGGTGCACAGCTCCTGATTTGGTCATAGCTCTCGTTTTTCCCTCTGGAAATGCAAAGCCCTTTCACTTAAGAGAAGTTAGATGGGTACACATGGGTCAAGCTGACCAATGAACGTGCAGAATATTAGAACAGTCATTGACTGTAGGTCAGTGGTGCTAACGGTGAGTGCTGGGGTCCTACGACTGTGGCAGGAGGTCCCTAGTCTGCCTAGCATATCGTCCATGGAGCACAGTCATGTCCCTAATGTTATTCTTTGCTATCACTTTAAGAACTAACCACGCCCATCCCAGCCACTTTTGGACCCTCCCCCCGCCGCCATGCGCGCGCGCGC